GTTACTTTGTGTCCTTTAAGGACAGTAGAAGCTGGTGACTAGATCTTGTCTCCTCTCTGACTATGACTGACTGTGAGGAAGAGAACAGTATGTTTAAACACTCCATACTCTAAGTATGGCTTCAGAGCTCTCAGTCTTAGAGATTTTTGAGTGCTTTTAATACTCTGCCTGGGAACCTCTATAGTCACCAGAAAGACATGTGTTTTGTTGTTGTTGTAGATTTTTTAAGTTATGTGACCTAGGAAATTAAAAAAAAAAAACAACAACCAGACTCTGTTACCAACATTGTTAGGCTTAGTTTTATTTTATTTTATTTTTTTCTTGGTATTGGGGTTTGAACTCAGGGATTTAAACTTGTAAAGCAGCTGTTCTACCACTTGAGTCTTACCTCCAGCCCAACCCTTATCTTTCTGTCAAGTGCCATTGACAGTCTCAGATATGCAGAAGCATTCTGGTTCCCTTAATTGCTGAATTTTGCTTGGTCTGGGATAACATAATCTGCTAGCTAACATGGATCTGCTTTATCATATGTAGATCTAAATGACGGACATTAGCTTTGGACACTTCTGTATCTTTCAAAGGTCAGGGCTTAAAAGGAAGAAAGTTGTTTACATGGTGGCATTTTGAAAATCATTCAGTTTCTGGACTGTACTGGATCCTTCCTACTGATCTCACTCCAGAGGACACAGTCATCCACTCAGAAAGCCATCTTAGTTGAGACCTGATATAAAGCATAAAACCACAGTGGTGTTATATTTTCCAGTGCATTGCATTCTCTGTTATCTTCCATTTTTTTCTGGACAGTGAGTGTAATAGAAATGGGAATTTAAAATAAGCTAGCTAAACTACTCTCAACAAAAAGTGAAATGAGTTGTAATCATTTGACCACCACATATTTTAGACAAATGATATTCTTTTCAAGAAGCAAATTATCAAGCTCCTTGAAACAGATGTCTAGTCATCAGTCACTAGAAGGACATCTTAAAGGTGGGAAACATGTCCCTCTGTGGAACAGTGTCAGGCAAAAAACAATCTAAAGGATATTTGGGTCACTAATCAAGCAGCATGAGCAGAAAATGGGGAAGTAGATTTTTTTCTTTAAGTTTATTTTAATCCATACAAATTAATAAGGATATTTATATGTCTTTCACAGACGCATATGCAAATTCTAAACAACAAAGAAAAAGTAGTCACGGTAAAAAAATATTTTTAAAGAAGTCATGTCAGCCTTGTACAGTGGCTCATGTCTGTAATTCCAGCTACTCGAGAGGCACGATTGAGAGGATCTCAGCTTGAGGCCCATCTGCACAATTAGCAAGAATACATTTCAACCAAAAAGAGCTGGACATGGTGGCATATATTTTTCATCCCATCTATGCAAAGGAAGCATAAAGAGAAGGACCACAGTCCAGGCTGTGGACCAGGGCATAAATGAGAAATTGTATCTCAAAGATAATCAAAGCAAAAAAGGCTGGGGGCATGGCTCAAGTAGTAGAGTGCCTGCCAGGCAAGCCTAAAAGGGAAAAAAAGCCATGTGATTAATGTATAAAAGGGAAAGAGATGTGAATTATAAAACATTAAAAAGAGTTTCAACAGATGAGATTGTTCAGAAAGAAGCAGTTTATGAAGGAGCCAAGGCCTTACAATGTCTCCCTTATTTCAGCAGCTGCATTTCTCATCAGCCAGCCAAAAGACTTCACTATTGAGTCCACTTTGTGATCTGCAATGTGCTTTTACATTGGCTATAAGAGCTTATGACCTAGAAACTCCTGAGTGAAGAGTCACAATTTCCTCCAAATTGTGCCATGCTATCAAATTTTGTTTGTCTCTTCCTAGGAAATTGCAGATGAGTCTTGTATATGTGTGTGTGCACACTTGCATGTAAACTGTGAGCTGTTTCAATTTTCTTGAGCTGAAAATCAAATGTTCTACTGCTTCAATACTAAATACTCCCCTGTCACTTCATTGTGAGGCCAAGAAAAAGGTTTAATAGCTATTTTCTCATGCCTTGTGCCACTGGGATTGAGATAAAATAAGAGTAAATCAGATTCTCTGCTGAGTAAATCCTCTTATCCAAACAGGCTCTCTTCCTTTGACGGAATATGTGTGTTTATTTAGAAGGCCCATGGCAGTCATTATCCATGGTTTTCAGGTGGTCAGAACATACCCTGCAGACTTTTTTGAAGTATGGTACATCACTTTTGGCTAAACAGTTCTGAACACAATAAATCCTCCATGCTCTAACTTTTCCTGAAGATCTAGGACAGCAGTGGCCTCGGCTCTGTGCCCTTTATCCCATGAGGCCTTGTCTCAATATGATGCTGATATTTTCTGACAGGAAAGCACAAAAGAAGAAATGGGAAATGACAGGTCAAACAGCAGAGTCTTTTCCCTTATGCCTGTCCTGCATATCCCTGAGGCTGTGAATGGTGTTGTTAATGTTCACCTGCAGAGATACATAGCAGTGTGGGCGCTAAGTTCTGCCATTGTCAAGTGCTTGAGGTTGCACAGAAAGCCATGGAAAAGTCCAGGGTGAGCTACTTTCTTGAAACTTGTCATTAATTATTATCACACAAATCTCCTGAAAGGAATATTGCCTTCATTATACTCTGAAGAGAATAGGAAATCATTTTAACAAGGAATAAAAATCTGTGCAGTTCTGTGAAATACTTGGCTGGGCACAGAAGTGAAAAATTGAACTCCAGAAGGACATTGTGATTTGAGAATTGGGAACCCAATCAGAATATTCCTTTTTAGATTCTCATGGACTCTGAGAACTGGAAAGATCTTGGAAATCATTTAGCCTAATCCTTTTTCATGTGAAGATGAGGACTCTGATCTCATGGGGACTTGTTTTGTATGACTAGCCAGAGGGCATACAATTACTCTCTTGGCGGACTAAGCTTGAGGAAGATGATTGCATGGTGAAGACTCTGAAGTGGAGGTGTGAGCTGACACAGGCACTAGGTATCTGTGAGCCAGTGGCCCAAAAAAGGCTGCTTTCAGACTAGCCATGACTTGTCAAGGTAGGGCAGAAATGTACACAGATCCTTGCTGTTGGGGAATTTCTCGGAACATCAGAAGAATTCTGCTTTCTGTTCTGTTGCTGCTCACTTGTTTTTAGGACTTGAGGGGAGATCAAACACTATCAGTAGGGTTGCAAGGATGCACAGCCCTCTGCCATTAACCTGTCAGCTGTGATCAGCCCTGGTTCCTAGCAATGCTTCTTACTTGGAAGGAAAATAAAAGTGGAAACCAAAGGGTGGCTGCCTGTCCAATTGTGTATGGAACTTGTCAGAACCTTCAGCAAATCATTTATCCAAGTTGAGTCTCAATGTTATCAATAAAAAAATGAAGGGAGTTGAACCACACACTTTCTCTGTTCTCTGGACTGTTCCTTTTCCATTTCACTGGGCTGTTGTGATGATCAGTTAGACAACGACAGCAGAATATACATAAATTATAAGATGTTTTTCTTACCATCATTATTCATGGGCTATTCCTCAGCACATATTTTGGGGGCTTGTCAGTTTATTGATCATATATTATACCCAGAGAAGCAGAGGAATGGGAAGGTTGAAACATGGTTTCACAACTGACAGCTCGAGAGGAATTGCAGATTCTTAATACTCTGTGCACTATTCATTGACCATATCCCCACTGGAGCATATGACCCATGTTTCAATTTGTGTCATTTTAGGGAAATGAATCAACTATAGAGACAGGATTGAAAGTTGTAATCTAGAGAAGAGTTTCTGTTAAAAATCTTAAAATGAGAAAAGAGAAAATTCTTTACAAAGTTTTGTTTTTCTAGTTTTGTGTTTTGGCTAGGTGTGGTTTTGTTATTAGCATTGCAATTTTTAAGCCTTATTAAAATTTGGCCATTTCTTAATTATTTCCAGAAGAATTGAAGTATACAAGTTGCTTTAAAATATACCTTTTGACTTAAAAATAAAACTGCAATTTATTGATGCTGTCCTTAATCTCTACAGAATAGTCTTTTTATTTAAGGGGGAGCTTTGCTAAGCTTGGAATCAATGATCCGAATGAACTTAAAGTACTATGACACTTTATGTCTATATTACTTTTCGAGATTATATTGCCTCTTTCATCTTAAAGCAAAGAAAACATCATTGAAAAATCACATTTGAACTGAATGTCGGAGCAATCAGTACATGCCTCAACATGCCAGTTAGTTCTTTTATTAGTGCCTGCTCAAGAGAGTAGAAGGCACATAGAGGGGAGGTAGGAGGGTGGGGGAGGCAGCTATTAGAAGAGAAAGGATGGAATGGGAACTGAGATTACACCCCAGTTAATCTGCCTTGGTAACATGTTTAGACATAGAAGTGTTTAAAGTTCCCACAAAATATCATTTTAAAAATAAAAATATCTAAGTGTTAAACCACATGTAATACTGGGATGCAAGCTTTATGCTTTTGAAGAAGTCTCCCTAGAGGATTGTCTCATTGATTTTTTTGCCCCAGGAGAGATAAAATGAGAAAGTGATATAACATGGACAAAGGCAGAGCCATCAAGAAGCTTTGTGTCAGGCGATTTCTCTCATCTCTGGGCTCTCTGGAAGTTCAATTATAACAGCAGGAATACCAGCCAGGGTGGTTCTATCCCACTGACATTGGTCAATGCCAGCACTTACAGTTAAGATTTCCACTGAGTATACATAATCCACAGTATATTTTTTTCAAGATCTTAGTGACTGTTCTTAACATATTAGATGACCATGACTGTTGAATTGTTATTTACACTTGATTTTTTAATAAATATTTTAGATCCAGATACTAAAAAGCAAAACCACCTAAAAGACAAGACCTTTCTTAATGAGTTTTTATGCAGATCTCCATTCACTTTGCCTGGGCTGAAACAGAATACCATTGATTAGGCTGCTGGCAGATGCCCAGAAGGACAGGAAAGAGGAGAAAAAGCAGACAGGAAATATTCTTTGGTAACTGAGAATAAAGAAGGAAGTCTATTTCTGTACTTACAATAGCAGTTGGGGTGGCAGCCAGCACGCAATAGAGCACCAGAGGCGTGATGAAGCTTTCTTCCTCTGTCCCTGGGTAAGGTTTCATTAAGTCTCCATCCTGACAGAAGAATCCTTGGATATGCACCTGAAAAGTGTCAGTGCATTCGAAGTAGTAGGCAAGCAGCACTGTTCCAGCCATGATGACAAGCTGAAAATACAGCATGGCCACACAGAGACATTAGCTGGGCTTTGGAGCAGCGCCTGCCCCTCAAAGCACACTCCCTCCGCCACCCAGCTGTGTTCCTGGTGTCAGTACAGGCGAGTGTGTGCGCGCCTGGATCAGCATGCTCTAGATTCTGTGAGTGTGTGCTTGCTTGTTTGCCTGGTAACATCTATTGCAGAAACCTTCTAGCAACTAGCATGCAACATCTATCTGAAAGGCAGACCACAGCCAGGCTTGTAGAGAGACCCAGCATCTGCTGCTCCACTCTCAGAGGTGGTGTGGAAACCAAGGGAATACTTCCATTCAGGACAGAGGTGAAGAGTCAAAGGACAGTGGCATAAAAGATGGCAAGATGTAGATGTGAGATCTGTTCATGAGAAATTTCATAAATTAAAGGTAGACTTACCTTTTTAATATTAGACAAAGGTGAATAAGGGACAAATGAATGAGTGAATGAACAAACAGGAAAGATGAAGCCTAGAATGGTTAAGATTTTTCAGAAGCATGGCCACATAGAGACATTAGCAGGGCAAATTATTGGCAGGTATTCACTATCAATCATAACTTTTTTTCCCCAAAAATGATTTTGCTTTTATTAAAAATCACCTCTACTAGTACAGCAAGGACTTTGCTTATGATCCTATCTTATTGTAGACATGTATCCTTCATAAGACTTAGACATAAACAGAGACACAGTTATTCTTTTGTTTGACTTGGAATTGCCTAGATACTCACTGAAGTTTAGATACTTTTTAAACAGAAATGTGGAATTGAGGGGGATATGAAGATACAATATCGTTTTACTCATGAGACATGAAAATGTCAAGATAAGGCAGTAACAAAGGTAGAAAATAAGTCTGTGAGATTATGAAATTGCAGAAACTTAGGTTAGAAAGACACTAGAATTTTTCTAGACTAACACCTTCTTTTGTAGATGAGAAAACTTAGGTCCAGACAGTGAATACCCAACATATAAACTAGAAATGTGTTTAGGCAGAGTACTAACACTAAAATGGAGAAAATACATTTATATATATGGTACTGGGTTGCTAGGCAGGTGCTCTACCACTTGAGCCACTCTGCCAGCCCTGCTTTTATATTGGGTATTGGGTATTTCTGAGATAGCATCTTGCAAAGTATTTGCCTGGGCTGGCTTCAAACTAGGATCCTTCTGATCACTGCCTCCTAAGTAGCTAGGATTACAGGCATGAGCCATTAGCACTGGGCAAGAAAATACATTTTAAACATTGATTTGTTTCAAGATATCAAGGCAATCAAGGGGAAAATTATAACAGTAGGTTGTCTTTATACATCTATGTTTTAAAATTGTTTTAATTTGGAATTATGGAAAGGGGAGAGAGGGAGAAGCCATAATCTTTTGGTGGTTTAGGAAATCTGAGGTTCTTATTCTGTCCCTGGAATGACTAACCCAAAGTTATATAGCTGGTGAGTATTAAAGCCAGTGATAGAAACCCACATTTCCTGATGTCTAGGGGGAAAAAACCCTAACAAAAAATGATCCGTAACAAAGTATCAAAACTGTATCCTATACAAAAACGTGAAGAAAGATGGGGGAGATAAAGTAGATTCACTTCAATTCAGAGAGACACTTTATCCATTCTTCTACCCTTTAATTTATCCACAACATTGAAGCATAACCTTATACCCTGCCCATCCTATCCTTCCAATTTTCCCTCTTTCTCCGTGTCTTTCCTCTTTGAGAAGATTTTTGCATCTCCCAGTTGCAGTGCGTATCAAGTACAAACTCCTAACTCTCCAATATAAAGGTTTTAATTTTGGTTACATTTATCACTACCTTCCTTTTATTCTAAGTACACCACAAATCATACTCTCCATTCACTATCCCTTGTACTTGACTGTTTCTGCCTCTATAAGGATTACTCTTCTATATATATCTGACATTTCTACCCAGTGAACCCCCAGTGGCTCTCTCATCACAACTTGTGACCACCCAATAATCTCTGGATCTTCCCATGTGTTTCTCCAGGTTTTAAGTTGTTTATTGGTATGACATAAAAATCACCAATCTTCATGCCAGCAATCTCTGCTGTTTTGAGTATATGGTTTATTCATTTTCCTCATAGGAAAAATCTTGGGCAAGTATATTTCCTATAAAACTGAGAAATAGATTCTCCAAAACTACCCCTGACAATAGTGCTTTTGCTTCCTGTAAGCTTGCAAAGTCAAAGCCATGAAGTTTCTATTCTTGTTTTTTGTGCATGGCTGGTCAACTGAGTTGACATAGTGGGAAGGAAACTAGCCAGATGCCTTGAATGATTTGGAGATCACAGTTTTGAGTCTCTGCCTCTGAAGCTGTCTCTGTCCCCTGCACAGGGATGATCTAGGATTTTTGTGTATTTTGTTCAGGTAATTGGGAGCACATTTCTCTCTTGACTTCATTAGTTCATAGGAAATATCTGCTTGGAGAAGGCAGGATCTACAGGGAGTATGTTGAGCAAAAAACAAACCATAAACAAAAGTGGCATCTATCTTTCTCTATTGAGGAAAAACATTTTATTTTACTGGCTACCTTTGTGCTACCACTTCCTTTTAAAAAAGAGAAAAGTGAAAGTCAAGTAAATGAAAGTAGGGAAAAGACTCAATGCAAAAGCGAGGAAAAGGAACTTAAAATAGAAGTGTCATTAAATACATCAATACCAACAGTAATATTAACAACAAAACCAATGTCATATGCTTAAATTTGAAATCTATATCTACCTGATTGATTTAATCCTGAAAGTAGCAGAGGAAAAACAGATGAATGAATCAATCAGTTGAGGGATATAAAGAACAGAAAACCTTGGAAACTCAGGGTGGTAGAGGTGGGTGGGGATTTTCGCAGCTTATGAATAGGACTGACCCACCAGCATCAGTCAACTTGCCTTGGCTCTTCTTCCTCTGGGCATCCAGTAACCCCTTTTTTGTCATTTTCAAGCAATTCTCACACTTCCTGCAATATCCCCAATAATTCCATTTAGAGATGCAAAGGAGCAAAAATAGAATAATTCATACCTGATTTCTAGTCTTTTTCCTATTGAACATTCTTTTGTGACAGATATTAAAAAGAAGCAGATACCATTGGTAGAAAAGCAGAAACAACATACATTTATTTTGCTTCTGTGAGCTTGAGCAGAGAGGTGCACCCCACCCCACTGACTGATGATGCCACACAATTATCCATCAGAAAATTCCCTTTTCCCTCCCTGTCTTGGGTCATGATTCATAACTGTCTAGGTTTGTGTCACTGGTGACAGCTGGCATACTTGCCATTTCTGCTTTCTTCCCAGCCTCATTTAGGGATGCATGGAGGGAGGCCATAATGTTGGTGTCACATAAGCAGATGGTGAGGCTGTGCCAGGCCAAGTACCAGTGGAGGGATTGAAGATGTCAATGTGATAGAGGCAATTATGGCTGTGGGAGGATAATGAGGTACAGGATGCTCACATACCAGAGACTTTCCAACAGCCAAGGTTTCCCCAGGATGACAATCTTATTAAGAAGATGCATTAAGTGCTGATCATAGTACAAGAATTCAGAAAGGAGATGCCAGCAATACCTGAAATCTAGCCTCTCATGCTTGAGAGTGCAGTGTTTCTACCCAGGCCCTCAACTGATTACTGAAAAGTAAATGTCACAAAGAGTGATAACTGAAGCTGCTCAGAAGGTGTAGGCAGAAGGATCTTGAGTTACTGGACAGCCTTGGAGAAAAAGTAGTGAGGTCTTGTCTTACTAGTGCTTGTCTAGCATGCAGGAGACCCTGGGTTCAATCTGTAGAATCACAAAAAACCATAAAAATAAAAAAGTGGTAACTGAGAAGGTCACAAAGCTGAGTTAGGAAACTTAAAGTATAGAGCAATTGTTCAGGACTAATTAATAGCTTTGATACAAAGTAGGGGATCAGGACACCAGTAATGGTGGTATGACTCAGTGAGTGTGTGTCCAGTTGGGAGCAGGAGACAGTGACATGAAGTTGATGAGAATGAGAGGATTAGCAACTGGTTCAGAGTGCAAGGGGCATATTTCAAACTGGGAATCCTAGGACTAAGTGACCACCATCTATGTTTCCTGGGACTAAGGGTTTTCCCAGGGCTAAAACTGGGATGGTTGGTCAGTTTTCCTGAGATGATGAATATTTCCATTCCAAAGAGATTTGTCATTCTGGTGTGCCTATAAGCTACTAATGCTATTAGTGACAATGCTTCTAGGCAGTTACTTCTGGATTCAGTCTCAAACTTAGTGCAGTGAAGGTGAGAAATTCTCAGATGTGCTCTCCAACACCAAGTAATTTATAATTCCAACTAGAGGATGCTACTCATCCAGGAGCAGACAGTGTGATTTTCAGAGGGTCTCAGCTGATCCAAAGGGAAATTCATGCATGTGGCTAGTAAGCCTGTAGGAAGAGGGGCCGATAGAAGGAGAACAAGGGAAAGGTCTACTGCCTGGGGGAGAAGCAGGTACAAAAGGATGGAGAGAACAACAAGATGTCAGTTCAGGAGGTTGGTCTAGGCCCAGCCCTGTGGATAAAGGAACACTGCATCAGGGCTTAGTGATAAGAATTGACATGGTTGTGACACAAAAGCAATGTTTTGGTGAGACCTCCAGGGAATAGCACAACTTCAAGATTTGCACATTTTGAAGTGTGGAGGAAGAGCATCCTAGCCCCAGCGTTAGTGGCTACACACTGAGTTGGGACGGGAAACCTTCAAGTCACATCCATGGAAGTGTAAACCAATGTATAGTAGCCTGTAGGGGGAGCATGTGAAAAAACTGATACTGAGCCCTTTTGAGACTTCTTTGGGGAACTTTGGAAAGAGGCTGAAGGATCAAAAACAACAGAGGCTAAAAAGGGGGAAGACAGGGAGGAAAAAAGGAAAAGGAGGAGGAGATGGTAATAATGTACTATGCATGTGTCCTGGAAATTGTTCTAAGCACTTTATATAACTCATCTGTTTTGTTTGAGTCAG